TGGGTATTTTTCCAGAAGAACTAAAAACATCATACCACAGTGATATATGTGCACCCATGTTTATAGCAGTGCAATTTGTAATAGCTAACTCATTGAAACAACCCAAATGCCCATCAACTGAGGAATGGATAAAAAAGATGTGGCATTTTTATATAGTGGAATATTACTCAGCTATAAGGAATGATAATCTCAAGGCTTTTATAGGTAAATGGATGTAACTAGAGCCCATACTCATAAGTGAAATAAGACCCGCATGTGTAAACACCGTATTGTCTCACTATTGTAAGAACCTGAAAGAGTAAATATAATCTAAAAGGTACAATAGATATTGTGAAATGGAAAGAAGCTGCTCAAAAGGAAAGACTGACTGGGATGAGGGAAAAGAGAAAAGAAAGAATTGGAAAAATATGAATATATATGCACAAAATAGCTGAGATAATTGTACTACAAATTTCTACTGTGTTATTGAAAGGAACAGTTAATGTTTGTTTGATCAATCTTACAGGCCTATATTTGTTTATCTGAGTAACCAATTTGAAGATACCAATATGTAATACAAGAGCCATTGTTTATTTCCTATCACTTTGTCTGACATTCTGTATTGATTTTGTTGTTTTTATGTTGCTTTGTTTACGTCTCTGTGTGTTAATATGTTTTGGTTCTTTTATCTTTAAAATAAAAATGAATAAAGAATAAAGAGTCTCTAAACTTGCTACAGATATTTTGAATTAACATACTCCTATACAAAGAAAGAAAGGCAAAAGTATTAAATGAAATGAGGAAAATTACATGACTTTTGGGGCACTATTATTGAACAAATATTCACATTTTGGAATTCCAGAAGAGAAAAAATATTGAAAATCTATTTCATGAAGTAATAGCTGAAAACTCCTGAAATCTTCAAAGAAATGTGGGCATTTGGATAAAAACTCAAAAACCCCAACTAAAGTCAAACAAAATACTCAAAAGTAAAAGCAAAGATTTCTAAAATCAACAAGAAAAAAGCAAGAAAATGCTTGTTATTCTTAGAGCAGATTTTCCAGCAGAAACTCTACAAGCCTCTTGATCCATTCTGCCAGTCTCTTTCTTTTGATTGGTGAATCGAGACCATTAATGTTGATAGTTGTAACTGATACATATTGACTTGTCCTTGTCATATTACTTTCCTGTTGTTGGCACCCCCTTTTCCCCTTCTCTTTAATTGCTTACTTTTCCTGGTAGATTCATTCTGTTGGGGTTCATGGAATTGTAATCCTTGTTATCTCTTTCTACAGTGTCCTTCAGAACATTTTGGAGTGCTAGTTTAGTGTTCATTAATTTCTTCAGGTGTTCTTTGTCAAAGTAGTATCTTATTTCTCCATAAATTTAGAAACAGTTTTGCTCTCCTTGATTTGAGAGTTTTTGTTGAGAAGTATGCCATGATTTTGATTGGCTTTCCTTTATAGGTGATTTGTTTCTTTTCTCTAAAAGCTTTTAATATTCTATTCTTGTATCGAATTTCTGGACTCTTGACCATTATATGCCTTGCTGTGGATTGTTTTTGTTCATTACCAGTTGGAGTTCTATATTCCTCACTTATTTGTATGTCACATTATTTTTCCCTGCCAGGGAAGTTTTTTGCCATGACATGTGTGAACAGGTTTTTTATGTCATTTGTGCTATCTTCTGGTTATTCATTAACTACAGTCAATCTTTTGTTACTCTTCTTTGCCTCATCTAGCAATTGCTAAATTGATTTCTTGTGGTCCCCTTCTTTTTTTAAGAAATCTTTCTTTTTATGATTGCTAACCACAATCCTGTCTTCTGTATCTGAGATTCTCACATTGGCTCACATTCCCAGATTATCCTCACATTGGCTCATTCTGCTGCATACACTTTCAATGGAATTTTTAATGTCCTGGATATCTGTTTGAATCTGTTTCATGGATTCCATTTCTTTCCTATGTTGGGCATATATGGTTTCTGTCATTTTCTTATGCTCTGTTTTTTAGCTGTATCTTCTATAGAGTCACTAAGCATATCTCTCGTTATGGCCACCATCTCTGTAGTTATCTCAGAAATTATTTCTAATTTGACTTTTTCTAGAGCTCCATTCCTTTGCTTTGTTACTT